TTACAGCAAAATTATTTTAAGGTAGATATATTTCTATAAACATAGAATTTTAGATATCATAGTACATTGTTATGTCATAAGTAATAAAAAAACGAATATATATATATATATTTAGTAGTTAAGCAATGAAGATATGAATATTTCAATTGAAATATATATATTATCTCTTATTGATATTCTTATCTATATTCAAACAAATAATATATCTCTAATACATATACATAATACTACGTAATACTATCACTTTAGAGAAGTGGCGTAAAATGATCTTAACTCTTAAATATATAGAAGGTATAATTGAAATGCAAATAAAAACTTACTATGTTATGATAATAGTATTAAGTGACTGGGGTGACATAACAATTAATTTATATAGACTCAAAATATTTTAATTTATCTCTTTTAATCAAAAATTATTTAGCGCCAACGTTCCAAAAAAAATAATAAAATTGTTGACAAGCCAAAATATAAAAATAACTCAACTGATTGTCATCTTAAGGAATATGATATAAATGATCTTTATTTCTGGAAAGAGGTCAAGAATGGCATTTCTACAAATGTTAAGGTAATTAAATCAAATCACTTAGATCCAATATCTATACCGTCAAAACAGTTACCCGAAGTAAGAAATACAAATTAAGATACAAGTAAGGAATACAAGTAACCAAAACTTTTACAAGTAAGGAATACAGTTAACCAAAACTTAGGAAAAAATTTTCTGAAATTTTTAAAAAAGATTTGTCTATTTTTCTAGGCAAAAGATTAAAAAAATTTTTATATATATTAAAAAATTTTTATTCCAAAGTTAATCAATAAAAAGTTGATTGATGAAAAAGAATTTAGGAGTCGTGTGTTTATTTGGATATTTATGAATAGCGTCGGACTTAGAGGATATAGGGCTAAAACCTGAAATCCACCAATGTCTATTCTTATCCATAAATTGTTTATAACAGGAACAAGGAGAAGGAATACTCTGATATCTCTCTTAACCAGAAAATCAGATATGTCAGGGGATTTAAAGGAATGTAAACGGATTTAAACCTTTTAAGCTTTTATAATTCTCTAATCAGCTTTTTTCCACCGATATCCCTCCATCTTACTCAGAAATAATTACCTAATCTCTGCTAATACCAATGATCATATCTCCAATACAGTTGACCACTTCTAATCCTTCTATATCCCCCAATATGGACTTAACTAACTTTTGCTATAATCCAGTTAATCCTAAATACACCTTAATACTAAATGTCCCTTTGATCTACTTTTCCCTCTCATTATGGCAGACAAAAATTCTGGGAGTGAGAATTTTGGAAAGCTGATTAGCTATTTTCATACTATTTTTATTTCTGAACATGATCAGATTATGTTTTTGGGACAATCTGGTCCGGATTTTCCGTATCAAAATCCCGAAAATCCGGGAAATCAAGATCCCCCTTCGTTAAACAAGCTCCTTGTCATTGGGACAAGGGAGCTTGTTTAATCCCAACGCTTTCATTTTAAGATAAGCTTAAAATCTATAAATTTTAGGGCTTAGATGATACTGCAAGTGCTGATTGGTTAATCAGTCTCAGCCCCGGCAGATGGCTATATGCTGATATCGTCGATGTCGCAATAAATAAATTATGTGTTGGCCATCCAATCATCTACATCAATCACTTAGAAATGCTGAGCTTCAGGAGAAATGAAAAAATTTCTGAATCATTAAAAATTAACGTTAACGGTGTCGACACGATGATGACTGTAATGCTATTAAATGGCAACCATTTTATTTTGTTGAAGGCAGATATAAAAAACCGCCAAATATTCTCATACGACTCAAGTAACAACCGTTTTCATAGTGAAAGGCATGAATGCATGGAAATTTTCTTGTAAGATTTTTAACTTAAACTGTAATTAGAAAATAGTTAAGACAGAATTAATAGATAAATAATAGAGGATGTTAGTAGACACACACCTCCCGCTTTGAAAAAAATCTTAGGCTTATCACTCAAAGCCGATCTAATTAATTAAAAAGCTTTCTAAATATTTTATAACCGGAGCTTTATATATATTTGTAAATATTTATTTCTTAAGGAGATATGGATATTTAAATAAAATTACATAGATATTTCTTTCTTTAAATAATGAGAATATAATTAAATAATAAATTTTAGCGAAATGATTGAACAACTTTATGAATCTTCTAATATTAATATTGGTACACGAAAAGGCTGGAAATTAAACGATGTACTTAAAGTACCCCAACAAGAAAATGGACATGATTGTGGCATATTCGTTATATTATTTGCACAATTTTTGATCTACAAGAAGGAAATGAATTTTACACAAAGTGACATACCTTATTACAGGAAGGCAATATTAAAGTTCATCATCTCAGGAGATGTTTGATTTTATGAAAAAACTTAAGATAATTAATTACTTCAATGAAATTCAAATGGAATGCAGGGAATTTCCAGCTCCCATTTAATTTCATTGTTAGTGGTTATTTTGACAAATTATATATTTCAATGATTTATTGCTTAGGATATTTATATTTTTAAAGCAACTTTAATATTTTTTGAAAAATAATAATTTATGTAAATTAAGTAAATAAAATTACTTCAATGAAATTCGAATGGAATGCAGGGAAATTCCCGCTTCCATTTAATTTCATTGTTTTAGTTTTTTAATTAAAATATAATTTTAAAGTTGCTTTTTCTTTTTTTCTTTTATTTTTCAACAATATTGAAACAATTATTTAAAAAATATTTAACTTGAGATAATTAATTCTTCGATAAATTTCAATCAATAAAAAAATTTTTTATGAAAAACTTTCAAAAATTTTTTATAAAAATTTTCTCACAAAATTTTTCAGATAATTTTCCACCCATATACATATTATCCTAAGTGTTTTCGGAAACAGAAAACTACCATAAATCGTTTTATTTGTAATATTTTGCATCAAAATTAACTTATTTAACATTTTCTGCTTAAAAATGAAAATTTTTCCGTTAAAAATTTTCTGTTTTCGGACCATATTTGATCCATATTTTGGATTTTAGTCCATATTTCAGTACATATTTTGAGATTTTTAGTCCATATTATATGTCCATATTTTTGATTTATAGTCCATATAAATCCCATCTTTACTCATAAATTTATGATTTGTTAATAGAAAATTGGAAATTTCGTTGTTTGTCGGCAGGATCCTTGATGAGTACCCTCAAAATCAAAGATATGAAAATTAGACAGCATAACTAAAAGTACATATATCATTTGACTTAAGATGCATAGATTAATTGTTAGAATACATCTAACAGACAAAAATATTAAACATGGAAAAGAAGCTTACATCAAACTTGATTTAGTATGATTTTAATAAAAAATAATTGAAATTATTTATAAGGTGTAGACGTTAATGCAGCATTATGTCGAAATTTTCGTAAAATAAGCATTTATTAGTTTTATGTAAGACTTATACAATAATAGTAGTTTTCTCATTTTTTGCATTTTCGCAAGAGATAAATTTTTTGTTACACCTGTAATATCCAAAAATTATAATAAAATAGAGAAAAATAGTCAAAGGAAAATAGCAAAAAATTAATTGTTAGTTAGTAACTAACATCCAAAAATTTAGAGAGTGCCGATACAATTTACTACTGGATCCAGTTATGGTTTTACAATATAATATGAAATTCAAAAATTTTATAATGAGCAGATCCTAAAAATATGATAAATTGACAAAGAATAATTAACAAAGAAAATTACCCAGGAAAACCAGGCATAAAAATTGCTGTACCTGTTCTTAGACAGGTACAGCAACCTTACTGACGAACCATTCTAAATTCAATCTGTTCCAAGTGCTTCAATTTGTTTTATATTTATGACGTAACGGGATTCATAAAGAATGCTTTGTGATTAACTATCGGTGTACATCACCTAACTATCCTCAATTGTCTTATCGGCATGGGAAGCTAGGCTGTCGGTTCTGGAAAACTTTCCTAACCCAATCGAAAATACGAACGAGGGTAAATTAAAATAACTATTAGGTAGGTATATTAGTTTCTGAACAAAAAGCATAGTCGTGGAAAGGCCCCCGAAAGCCTCCTGATTAAAAAAACTCAAGTCAAGGCTATTAGAGATCGGTCTGGATCTGTATACAATCTGAATTTTTTCTGGATCCAGATCAGGGCTGTGATTATTTCGCACTTTCGCGTTTCGCATCTTTCGCATTCTCCCATTTTTCAGCGCGAAATGTTTCGCATTTTGCTTTTTATTTCTAGATTTCGCCCAGCCCTATCCAGATCAAGAATCCGGCTTTATCTGAAAGGACGTGCGGGATCATATTTTTTCCTCCTTCCTTACACTAGTCAGTCTAACTTCCATTTTTCCTTAATATGAAAAAATGGTCAGTCTTTACCTCACCCTTAATTTTCCCTGTGGCATATGTATTCAAATGAGAGACATTAATATGGAAAGGATTAATTTTTCTCAGTGCCATTGTCAAGCCGGATTGACAGGAGACGGAACGACAAAACAGGTCGGACAAGTTAACTCCAGATCCATAATCCAGATCCAGGATTTTTGAAAATACCCATCTCTAATGGCTAAATATATTTAAATCGATAAACTAAAAATTAAAATTTTTAAAAATTTAAAATTTGAATAAGAGAAACACGTGAAACACAAAATCAGAACTTTATTTGTTAACCAAAAATCGCTTAAAATTAAAATTGAAGCGGGCGTCAATCAACGTGGAATATTTAGACAAACTTGCTTCAATGGTAAAATTTTAAACCAAAAAATTCAAAAAAAAGTTTTTTGGCTTTAAAAATTAAAAAATTAAATAAATTTCTCTCCTTTATGGGTAGATGAAAAGCCCAACATGTGCGGTTGATGGCTAAAATTAAAATAGAATTGTGCTTGTTTAGCTGCTATAGACGTAAGCATTCATAAAATTCTAAGCGTGGATTTTTAAAAAAAGACAAAAAAAATTTTTGAAATCATCAGCATAAAATAGAGACGGTTTCAAGGCAGTCATAAAAAATTTCAGAGAAATTGCCAATAAAAAAAATTCAAGGAATATGATCCTAAATTTGTGCCTTGTCTTCTTTACAGGTAAAAATTTTAAATAATTTGGTAAGGTTAATTTTATTAAGAGGAGGTAAGAGGGATGTAGTACATAAGAGTGATTAGAGGATTTCTATAAAAGTGATGGATTTAGTAAAAGGGATTAAGAGGGATTAGGAACGGATTACTTATAATGGTGTGGGAGGAGTAAAAATTTAAACCTGAAAAGCATCAGTTCTTCGACATAATACATTTGCGAGATGTGCTCTTACCATCTATGGTTGTCGGAACCTTTCTTACTGACTTTTCTCTTAAAGGATTTTATCCCCCGTTTTGTGAAGGTGTTTAAGCTTCTCATTTAATTACATACCTAGGAAAACAATGAAACCAAACTTTTAAATATTTCAGCATGTCTATACACATCTGTCGAGGGTTTAGGACTTCACCAAGCAAAAATGACGGACGACTTAAGAAAAGCAATTTTGAGAGCGCACAATAATTATCGTAGTCAGCTTGCTAAAGGCCTAGTTACCGATGGCTCGAACAAAACAATGCCGGCAGGGAAGAACATATACAAATTTGTGAGTGAAATGGGTGAATACGCTTTATCTCCTATTCTTTTCTTTAAGTTCCTTGATTTCTAGGAGTGACTTTGAGGAGTACAATTCTATATAAAATCTATATAAAGTAGTGCTCGGCACGGTTCGGTACTCCCGAAAATACCGAGTTGGGAATTTCCGGTGCTTCCGGAACCGGAACCGTCCCGAACAGGTTTTGAAATTTTCGGTACTAATTGGTATCAGGAATATTCGGTACTTTAGGTACCGGTACCGAAAAAACCCATTTGCCGAACACTAATATAAAGTTGATTTTGTGTGAGGACCTTGACAAAATCCTTGCTAATTCAAGGAAAAATCGAGAAAAATGAAAATTGATCTTGACTATAGATCAGGATCCAGGCCGATCTCTATGGTCTAAATAAAATTAAACAAAAATACGGAGGAGATAAAGCGATTATACAAAAAATTTATATTAAAACGATCATTAAATCCATTTAAAGGTATACAAATTATCAATCGAGAAAATTGCCCAGGCAACTGCTGATAATTGCAAAATGGCACATCCTGGCACTGTTGGATATGGAGAAAATTTATGGGCAAATAGCTGGGCTATGGATAATTTGAGTAAGCTATTTATAGGGTTAACTTCACTTATAAGCTTCCCCTACTACTCCTAATGTCTTATCAGATTTTTTAATAATCAAAAAATTAAATTTAGCGGAAGCAGTAAATGGCGCTCCTCTATCCTGGTGGAGTGAGAAGGATAAATGCCCTATACTTGCGAACAATCTACAAGTTACTCCTGATGTTTTTGATAAATGTGGACATATGACCCCAGTTAGTATATAAGCAAAGTAAAAATTTAAATAAATTTATAGATGGCATGGTCACATACTACTCAAATTGGATGTGGTATTCAACTTTGTCCAGCACAAGATTGGTGCTCAGGATGGGTTAGTACCTATATTAATTTAAAAGCTGAACGGAAGGAAATATCCCTATAATCACAATAAAATAACTCAAAATCATCTTAATTAATGTGGCGTTTTAAATTAGTCTGGCCAATTGATAGAGTTGCCGCGTAAGCGTATGACGTATTTTAGGCTATAACCGATACACACTTTCCTCGGAGCTTTAGACTCATTTCATTAAGTGATCCAATTTTTATGCTGGGTGAGTATTTCTAATCATGGCGCTCCACTGAGATCGTAACTCGATATGTAAGAATTTTCTGTCAGAAACGAAAACTCACTGAGATACAGGCGATTGAAAACCGAAAAATTTGATTGAAAATTTTTGGGATGCTAAGAGCTGATAAAACTGTTTTTGTGCTACTACTTAATTAAGTTATTCTTATGCTACTTAGTGTAGAAAAATCAGAATAAACTCTTTAAAATTTATCAACTAAATTTATTTTTTATCACACAGAACCCACCTTGTTATAATACGACGCTTATCTCTTGCAATTATTTTAACCCGTAAGTGTATAATATATTTTTATTCAATTAATCTGCTTATTAAAATATAGGACCAATGACGCAGGGAACATTTTAATGTACGAAAAAGGAAATCCATGTTCGAAAGATTCTGATTGTGATTACTATGCAAATTCAAAATGTGACACGAGTTGTGGTCTTTGCAAAGCACCGTTAGATGCTACTGATCCACATAAAAATTCAGGAAATTAATTCACATGCGTGATTATGTGAAGTACACGATATAATTTCTTTTCTGTCCAATCTTTCAATGTAATCTATTAGAGTAATGCGTATGGGGAACTTTAAATACAGATAGGGGTAAGGCCAGAGGTGTGTCGGAACATTCAGAGGTGTCGGAAATCGGAAGAGCCGGAAATCGGAGCCGGAAATCGGAATAAAAATTTTTTTTGGAAATCGGAATTCCGACCCAAATCTGGTAAGGACCGCATCATAAATTCGGAATATTTTTTTATTCTTAACTGAGTGTCTGAAATTAATTCTTTCCCAAAAAAGCCTGTATCATGGAAAACGTCAAAGCTTATTTCCTTAAAATTCTCGTACTACTCTGGTAGACTATTTTTAAAATTTTACCTTTCATAAGTAATTAAAAGTCTAATTAATACATAAATAATTTTCCTTTCATTAAATCTTGTAAAATACTTTTTAATTGTAATAAACTTAACGGCTTTAATCTTGTGTAATTTTTGCAAAAAAAAAATTCACCTAGAAAAATTCGCTTAGAAAAGACTCGATTACTTAAACTTTGCAAAAAATCTTGAACGCGAACTCGGGTTATTCAAACTCGGAATATTCGACGTACTCTAGTCTCAAGTGTATTAATTAATATGTGTTTTTATATTTTTCTCTCTTTTAAACTCTAAATACAAAAACTATAAAGAGTTGTGTCGAGTATGTTGATAGTTTTTATTTTTGGATGCCATTCATAATCAATTGGCAATAATTGACTCGAACAAAATTATTAAGAGGATATAATGTTAATTTGTCTCATCTTGTTTTTAATCTTAAAATGAGACTTATTTTCTTGTTCATCGTAACTCTATACATCAAGTTACGAACTTTATTAATTGGATTTGAGAGAGAAAGAAGGGAGGAAAAAAATGACAGAAAGGGGCGGACAAACAATTGCGGACATTGGGGGGGTTTAACTAAGGGCTCCCGGACAATGCGTCAGTGGACAATCGGTCAGTATTGATAAAAAGTGATTAATAGTGATGATATAAAGAGATAAAAATCCAATGATATTCCTCCAAATCGGCTGATCTCCATCTTAATCCAACCAAGTAACTTAATATCTCTGTTAATCCTCCCAAACCCGAGATATCAATAATATAATGATCCGGATTCCTAGACAATAATATAATGATATATTATTGTCCTAGACAATAATATAATGACGGATTCCTAGACAATAATATAATGATCCGGATTCTCATTAATCTTGTAGTGCTCCTCAAAATTTCATTTATTTGACATCAGGTAATGTTGAAAAAAATAAAAAAAATCTACCATCATGTTGAAAAATTAACCACAGTGATCTATGGTTATATTTAAAAAAAAGGTATATATATATATATATATATATATATTATAAATAAGGTATATTTTATTAGATTTATTTTATTCTAAATGGAGTTACTTTTGGGTTCAGCTCGTAATTAGCATTTGTTTCATGTTATGTATTTTTGGATGTCGCATTGAATGCCGACAAAAATTTAAATAAATTTGCAAAATCTGATATACTGTTGGTGCCAATTCGTTAATTTTTTGGTGCTATTCGATAAAGGACCCCAGACTTCATATTTTCGTTTGGGTTCGGAAAGTTTTCCAGAACATACATCCTAGTCTCACATTATTATTGTTATCTTTTCAAGAAATCTGTGGGGTATTTTCTTTTGCTATTGTTCACAGCGCTATGTTCCTTAAGCCAAAGCTAAAATAAAACCTAAAAAAACCTAAACTTTGGCTAATTAAGGTAAAGCAGCTGGGCTATAGCTATTCTGGGAACGAACCAGCATCTTTACTTATTTAATTAATATGTACTATTAAAATTGTTTCTCATTAATAATCTAAAATTATTATTGTGATTGTTTCGGAATTTGTTCATAGATGTTTTATTTTTGGATGCCATTCATAAGAATGGCAATAATTATGTCGAAAATTAGATTTGAATTTGAGAAATATATAATTAAAGTAACAAAGTATAAAATCAAAGTTATTAATGTGACTCTATGGTCGTCGGCAAAACGATTGTTCGGCCATCCGCAGTTACCCGCGGATGGATATGCCTAAAAGTTTTAAGGATATAATCGGATACGGATGTCGACCTCACAGATATACCTATTCGGATACGACACAAAAATTAGTATCCATTGCCAAGCCAGATCGGATCCGATTCCAATGACGTAAATTACATATAATCTCATTTACATATATATAATCTCATTACCTCATTTACAAAAATTTTAGACCATTATTGTGATTAAATCGTTCATTTTGTTGCATTTGCAGTTTTATTTTTGGATGGCATACATAATAATGGCAATAATTAAAGCGAAAATTAGCAATCTCCAGCCTTTCCCAAAAATTATTTTTGTTAGGAGATCTTTTCTTGAGTTTTTTAACCTTTTTTTCATTTAAATTTTACCTAATTTGAATCAAACCATCTCAACATTTCCTAAATTTAAACAAATATTCAACTGATAATTTTTGTGTTTTTATATTGGGCAATTACTGGGTATTAATCAAAGGGAACAATTTTAAAGGATTTTACTCTTTTACTTAGTTTGACCCGGTTTTAAGCTTAACTTCATTTAAATTTTTAATTCATCCATCTCCAACCTTCCACAAATTTTAGAAAAAATATTCAACTCGCAATTATTGTCAGCTAATTTTTTGAAAATCTAATTAAAGGCGATAATATCACATACTAGTTTTTTGCTTCGGATCGATTTAGATAATTGGGGTGTCATTCGATGGAGCTCTGAAAAGTTGATATAAGCACAAAATTAGAAGGGTTGAAAAATATAACCACAAAATATATTAGACATAATTATGGACATAAGAAGACATTAGAAATTGGCCAAAATCTCTTTTCTATTAGGATTTTTCTTAAGTTTTTTAACCATATTATCCTCACACCCCCCCCCCCCCCCGCTGGTCTGAATTGTTAGAATCAGGGAGCTGCATTCAATTACGGATTGCGTAAATTTCACGGGTTTTTGCAATTGCAGGTTGCGGAATTTTTTTTCGATTGCGTGCAGCCTAGTGATGGTCGGGATTCCCGGTCTCGGTTCCCGAGTCGGGAAATTTCCCGGGTTTTTTGAGCTCTCGGTCTTGGTCTCGGTGTTTTAGTCTCGGAAAACGAGACTAAATTTACACCCCTAATGATGGAAATTTTTTGAACTTTTTGAAGGAAAGGGGAAAGGAATATACAGTGCGTCCGTAAATTATACGACCACTTGTATTTTTTGTCATATCTTATCTTTAACATGGCATTTTCGTTTCATTTCTTTTTTATATTAATCATTTATGTATTCAGAATTCCTAGGCAAAATTTCATTTAAATATTCCCAACCATCTCTCAGAAAATTAAATTTAATTAAAAGTAGTCGTTTTTCAAGCGTCCGTAAATTATACGACCACCTTGGATAATCATGTTTCGGATAGCAGGAAAAATCCACAAAAATTCTGGTAAACATATCTATTGATAATAATGTAAAATACAAAAGAAACGGAGTTTTATTATAACTCCAGCATCAAGATCTCAAAGCCCGAAAATCAACGGAAAACCGGGGTAAATGTCTTTGAGTGGTTAAGTTGACTGACTTCACTCACTTAAATATTTCGTAAGTGCTGGGTTCGAATCCTAACGTGGAAATGAGGTTGTGAAAATTTTTCTTTTCGAAAATAAACGTTTTTAAACTTTGATTTTGATTTTAAAATTTTTAATTTATTTTTCTTAATTTTTTAAACTTGAAAAAAACATTAAAAATTTTAATTTAATCATGAATTTTTCAAAATTTCCTCCTGCGGCGCAGTGTTTTTACTCCGGCGGTAAAAAAGAAAGAAATCTGGCTTTTGGCCTCCCAAATTTTTCAAAATTTTCGCCTGCGGCACAAAAAATGGAAGAAATCTGACTTAAGGACCTCCAAAATTCTCAAAATTTTCGCCTGCGGCGTAGGAAATGGATGAAATAGGAGGATTTATTTCAAAGCCTTGCAATGTTTGTTGTGTGGTTTGTTGTGTCACATGTCCCGTGGGACATGTGAGACTGAGAGAGGGTATCCCTCCTAATCTCTTGGTCTCGACTCTCGGTCTCGACCCGGGACTCGGTCTCGGGGTCGATTCCCGGTCTCGACTCTCGGGTTTTTTTAACTTCCGACCATCACTAGTGCAGCCCTGGTTAGAATTAATATGTGTTTTTAAATTTTTCCCTCATTTAAAATTAAATCCGTATATTACATAAAAATAGTTCTTCTGTCCTGATCGTCAGTCTTTATTTTTGGATGCCATTCATTATCAATTGGCAATAAATGACTTGGTTTTGAACCTAAATTTTTTAGAAGATATAATGTGAAGCTATACTGTAACTATATGCTTTACAGTACTCTTACATGCCTTTGCTTTTATAATATTTCGTACACAGATACGAATTATTGGTACGAGCTTCCAAACACTTGTCAAACCCTCATTAATTACCTGGTTGCCTCCATATTCCACTTATCCTTCTGAATCCCGAATCCCTCGGTAAAAAGACAACGACTGTTTAGTGAATTAAAGATATCAAGGGATTTTGGGGATTAAAAGGTAATTAAAAATAGACAAAAATAACTCCTAAAATTAAATCAAATAAGTCAAAAGCTAGAGAAATCCCGTGTGAATACACAGGTACGAATTATTGGTACGAGCTTCCAAACACAGTACAAACCCTCATTAATCACCTGGTTGCCTCCTTACAAAATAATTCTAAATTCCCCCTCAAGTTGTTTCCACCTGACAAACACCCCGCCCACCCAAAAATGGCAAATTGAACAAATCCTTCGGATTTACAATTTTTAGGATTTTCAAAAAACTTGATTGAAAACAAAAGCAGTCTTCATTTAACCTCAGTCTCTAATATAAGCAAAAAATTATAAGGGTTGAAAATATAACATCTGTGGTTCTATTAGATAAATACAATATATTTTATT